GAAGACTACATACTGCCCTATGAAGGCTTCTATATATTACAGGTTTAACAATTTTTATCCATTGTGTGCGCAAGCCTGCCTCCCCTTTATCCAATTCTATGAATGTAAGTGTTAAAAGGTGACTTAACACTGGTTTGGTTTAGATGTACTGGGATTTTGCTTTATATTTTTATTGAATTTAACGTGTTAATGTAGCGCCATTTACCCACTCTCTGTTTCTTTAACATTCTCTATAGTCTAAATTAATGGCTCTGTTCTTTTTTTTTTTTTTTATTCTTTTTTGTAGGTGCTTTGCAGAAACATGTTCAATAGTTAAGACATCAGCAAGTTGAATTATTCAATATTACAAGATAGTATTTTATGTCATGTAGTCAGCACCATTTTTTAAAGGAAAATAAAACAAGATAACATTGAATACTCGAGTCAAGATTACACAGCAGGTCATCAGTGAGAAGAGGTAAGGCAGGACTCGGTCAAAACATCCTATGAGGAGTATATGAAGTGCAAGTGTAAACTCAGAAAGTAACGTTGGAATGAGGAGGGGATTGTGGAACATGACTGGCGGTGTCAGTAAATGCATGAGAGAGGCAATAGCCATTCATAGTGTGAATAGTGTAGGCCCTTACATCTATAGCGGTGAAGTAGGTTACCCCTAACCAAGGTGGTGGCAGGAGGGGGGGGAGGAAATTGTTTGCCAGCGGGAACAATGGTTAAACCCCAAGTATGTATGGTTTATTGGTCACCCTGGGGGACCATGTCAGGCTGTATCTCTAGTTTAACATGAGTGAAGTATGAGAAGATATTGGGTTTAGCCAAATGGTCAAGGGTATTAGAGAGCTGTAAAGCAAGTGTGAAAAACAGAAATGTAACCAGTATGGAACGCAAACATAACGGAGGTGCATCTTCTCCAGTTCTCAGTACAAATGGCATGATGTGAGCCGGGTCACAGACTCCAGGGTTCGGTATCCGAGATGAGGTGGCGGTAGGCACAGGTAGTCCCAGTGCGGTTAGGAATGTTGGGCCTTCAGTTACAGTTCCTAGCTTGTGTGTGGTCCCTTTATGTGACACCAGTATTGATCTTGGTGTCCCCCATCTGTACACAATCCCAGCTGGGCGTAGTTGAAGTGTGATGTGATGTAGGGATCTACGCCATTGCAGGGTGGCTCTTGTGAGGTCTTGGAAGACCGTCAGCTGGGAGTTCTGAGCTGAGCTGTCAGCAAGTGTCCCTTGTCCTGAAGAGTCACACAGCTGAGTACAATGTCCCTGGGGCAGTAGTTTGTGTCTTGGTACCAGGCAGTCTGTAGCCCCATCTATGGTGGATTTTCTAGCCACTGTGGGAGGCAGCACTGGGGCCACCAGGTGCCTCAGATAATGGGCAGTTCCTCGGCTGTAGCTGGGTCCGGGACCTTATGGATTTTGACATTACACCTGTGGCGATCTTCTAGTGCTGAAAGCTGCGAGGTAAATACCTGATGAGCTGATTGGAGTTTGTGTATGGAGTCTTTCATGTTGGACATCTCTTTGCGGACGCCTTGTATGTCATCCTCCGTTGCCCTGACGCGGTTTGTGACTTGCTGAATGTCTGTTTTAACAGCTATATCAGCTGCCAGTAATTTCTGTATGTCGAGCAAGAGGGTTTGTAGATCCTGCTTGGTCGCAAGGTTACTGGTCAAGGAGTCGAAGTGTGTGGAGACTGCCCTATCCAGCTCTCAAGTAGGCTGTGTCTCATTACTTTCCAGCTGATCCGAGGGGGCCGTGTTCTCCCCGGCTGTAATTTTGGTTGGTGCCTGTTTCTGCAGCATGATGCTTATGTCCTGAGTGTCTGGGACGTCTCCGTTTAAGAGCTTTTGCTGCTTGCATTTCATGTCCGCCGGAGTGGCTGTGGATCCCTGTAGGTGCTGTGGTGATGCTTCAGCATCATTGGTTAGTAGCGATCCGCTGAGAAGCATGTCCCAGCTAGGAAAGGCTTGTGCTTTGTAAGCCTCAGACTTGTGCTTAGGTTTAGCTGTCTTCGGTAGCTGAAAGAAGGGCATCTATGGATGCGGGATCACTCCCCGAGCTGAGGGTGGTTGTGCTGGGGTTGGATGGCCCCTGGTTCACCCAATTTGCCATGGATTAATATGTGGTTAGCCGGAGCCTAAAGAGATGGCGTCCGCTTGGCTTTGCAGGCAAGCCCCCCATGGCTCTGTTCTTATATAGCAGTAGTGACACCCTTCCTTGTTTGATTTTGCCTTCTCTCTGCCCACACATTTCGGATTTGCCTGAGGTTTACCTATTGAATCTTATTCTCTGAGGATTGTTTGAATAAAACTCCATAGGCAAATCCACGTGGAGTGATTATGACATGGGAGAAAAGGTGAGCTTAAAGACTTTTTCAGAGCGTTCTAATGGGGACCAGGGACCTAAGTAGTGTCAGTATTATATGTTTGTGCTTCTGACACTATAGCGTACATTTAAGTTAAAGTTGTTTTGCTAAATCACAATGAAAAGGACTGAAACCCCCAAGATTTTTTCAAATGAATTCATGTGACTGTTATACACATACAGGAAGTAGTAGAAGCCAACGCGAGAGCCTAGAGGGGCTCTGATTTTATTAAAGCAGATTTTTTTGTAAAGATACGATTTGTGTGGTCATGACATGAACATTAAGTAGACTTTTTATTATAGTATGTTTCATTATAGTTGCAGACGTTCAATGCCAGTGATGATACAACTTATAATACACCATGAATGAATGTCAGAAAAAAAGAATAATTACATAAATCTGTCGCTAGCATACAGCTTTTCCTGCGCCATTCAATACATGCTGCTTACAAGGACCTTCTTTCTTCTGACTGTTGCTTTGGACACAATGTAACATTTAGGACTCTGGTTAGTGTCAAGGATAGGCAACATCTGTGTCTCCAGCTGCAAAACAGAACAACTCCCATTACAAGCACTATTCTGCTGTCTCGTTAAATCTCTGTGAAAAGGGAATATCACACAGATATATCATAAGGCAAACCAGGAGCAGTTTAGATTTTTACAAGTGATGCTTAATGGCAAAATGGAGCAAAGGGCAGGGCTTAGAGCAGCTTCTACCAGCAAGTCTTACCATTCCCCGTCAACTGCCATTAGCAACAGAGAACAGGCATCTATTTGTGCAATGCACAGAAGATACATATGACATCTCCTTGCCAGGCGGTAGATGTTCTTGCAGGATGTTCCATGTCGTAGATGCATCTCCTGGTGGCATCATTAGCCAGGAGCTGATGAAGGCCTGGTTTCTGGAAGATGGAGGTGCAAAGGAGGAATGGTTTTAGGCATGTATTTCTTGTTCCTGGTTTCAAGGTAAAGACCCCATAACGACACCACTGCAATTACAACCATATTCACGGCAGAAGGTATCATGTGGCAGAGGGAGGAGCATCATTTACCTATTACTGCATTGTTTATCACATCAGGTTGCCATATTATATGTGACTCTGTCTAATACTGTGAAATACTGTTATCTTCATGACAGCCTCTAGCTTGAGACCTGAGGCACTTCCTGGTTTGTGATCTCAGCAAATGTTTATTATTTTCATTGTTGAGTCCAGCCTGTGTAATCACTGATCTTTATAAAGTACCCTGAATGCAGGCGGAATATAAAAACTTAAAATTAATGATAGCTGGTATTGTGTGCAATGAAAATTGACTTCACTGTTTTTCATTGTTCTGGCTGTATTGTAAGAACACAATACCATACACCCGTCTTTGTTGTACTTTTTTAAAATTTCTAATAAATAATGTTAACTTTTACAGGTGAAACATGTTTGGATATTTTGGACTGCATTAGCCATTCCCTTGTCCTTTATTCACAATCTCTGGCTTAGTGAATACAGCCATTGGATGACAAGGTCCAATTTAATAGGATAAAGATCTGGCAATAAATGATTCATTCAATTCTCTTGGAATTCACATTTTCAGAGGATTCCCTTTGAAATTACCATGACTTGACTTTTCCATTAAGAGGGAATGCCTAAAAAATCCCACCCTTCAGCAATGATTCACCAGATGATTCCTATGTAAACCTTGTTGTATACATTTTTCATAACCCAAAGCAAATCTTACTGGCATGCTTTTCATTAATGACATTCTTAGGTCTCTGACTAATCTTTGCAGGAAAATCATTGCTAGATAGCCAAGGGCAGATCTTAACGTAATTGACAGGGCATCACATTACCATATTGATTAATCTTGTAATTAACAGGCTTCTTAAAGAACCTGGAAGTTTGGAAAAGGTCACCTTTAAACAACAGGTAAAAATAGTGTGGTGTGCCAAAAACTACTCACTGTTTGCTACTGCCCTCTACTGGTCATTCTTAAGACCACTAATTAAATATCCCCCAAAGCTAAATCTCTCCCTGCTTTTCTTTAGTATGTTAATTTAAAAAAAAATAAAAAAAATTACTATTTGGCACCTGGATTCTCGATTTATTTTCTTCTTTTTTTTTATGAATTAGATTTTTTTGGTAGCAATGTTAGTTTGTTTGTTTCAGGAGTAAAGAACAGGTTAGATGAGTATATATTGGTATATAAGCAACATAAAATAACATGAGATTCAAGCTATACAGACAGACATGATGACTAAAGAAAAAGAAATGAAAACATAAACTAACAACTTAACAAGGAGTAAAACCCCCAGGAGGCCCCTTAAATTGGCTAGATGATTTTCCTACATTGAGAGACAAAAAAACAAACAACTGCTTAAAAGGTGAGTAGATGGGATGCATTGCTGAGACACTATGCTAGAAAGAAATGGTCCCGGACCCTGCACTGATATCAGCCCATGCCCTGGAGGGGCCTAACAGAGTCCCACCATGAAAACCCCAGTATCTGGACCAATAACCAACTTGTATTGTGGTATACTGTTGCTTTAAGAAAGGATACTCTGGACTGTTTGTGGGGAACTCTATGGTCAGTGGCTATTTTAAGTTTAGTTTTTCAGTCTCCAGTTTCTGTCTAGTGTATGCATCTGAGCCGAATAAAGAACTGCTCTGTGTGACCACTATCAAGTAGTGCTTGCTCCTTCTCTCCATGTAAAATACTACACCCAGAAAACACTGCATGCTGTCAGAAGTGCCGAAAAGTCACCTGCTCGAGTAAGGATATTGTTACAAGGACTTTGTTTACAGCTTATCCAGCATCAGCATGGACTTTTTCAAAGCACCAGACCCTCTGCAGTTCACAGGAAATGTAAGTGAAAACTGGAAGAGATGGGAGCAAAGAATTCTAGTTTATGCTGAAGCAGCTGAACTTTACAATAAGGAGCAAAAGACTCAGATTGCCATAGCCTTGCATGTTGTGGGTGGGGAAGGACAAGAGGTTTACAACACACTGGAATAATAATAATAATAATAATAACAAAGTATTTAACCAGGAAAGGCACATTCAGATTACTCTGGTTTTCAAGTACGTCCTGGGGAATCAGCCCTGCCTGTTGAAAGAACATTGAATTCAGTGCTGACATTGTTCAGGGACCACTGTAATCCAAAGACAAATGAGACTAAGAGTGAAAGCAAGAGTTTGGGAATATACTTGTTGACATGTTAAGAGACAAATTTGTTTTTCGTGTTACTGATGCCAGACTTAAAGAACGTCTACTCAGAGAGACTGACCAAACACTACAAAAGGCGGTAGATATGTGTCAGGCTGCTGAAGCCAAATAAGACCAGGTTCAAGTTATGGCAGCAAAAATGGCAGCAAGCGCTTACCAGCCTATTCATGCATTGGAGTACAACTCTACTCTCTCTAAATCAGTGGAGGCTACTAGAGGCAGGTGTGCCCTAATTGTGGCAGGGTTCACCCACCTCAAAGATGCCCAGCATTTGGGTGTGTTTGTTACACGTGTAACAAAAATAATCACTTTCACTTTAATCCAGGGGCCAGGAGGGTGAGAAAGTAAAAATGGTGGAGACTTTATTTATTGGAGCAATACTGAGATATTTGACCTCTAACCATGAACAAAACTCAATGAGAATGGGCTAAAATTTATTATCAACAAAGTTATATCAACACATTAAATGACTGTGTGCCTTTAAATCTGGAATACCATTGGGATAGATGATGTCTACCTTTTCCCCATCCTTAAATAGTTAAACCATACCTTCAGGAAGGGCTTAGTTCTATACGTCTCTGCCAGAATTTCAATGGAAACAGTGCAAAGAAATATAAAACAATTCGTTATGGATTCATATTGTGATTTGCTTCTCTGCGTTCCTAAAAATGAAATGGGTTTTTACTTCCTCTTTAATCAAAAACCGTAAAAATACAATATTACAGCCTTAAATCTAAAAGTAAATGACATTTTTATATCGGGCATTGCTATTACACCCAGGGATTTGATTTGGAAATTCTGAATATCCTGCGGATAATTTAGTCATAGGTTATGTGATTGTTTGAGTTGGCACCTTGGTCTAGACAGAGTGGGCGAGAGTGAGTGCGTCAAATCTTTGGCGTTTACAAAATCCCCAAGATCCAGCCATCTCAAGCACGTACATGCCTTGAAAAGGAACGCAGACTGCCAAATGCAACTATCTGTGCACTGGCAGTAACTGGAAAGAACAACACCTATTACCTACCTGGAGGTAGCCTGGCAGCATGCCCTTATGAGAATTCTTGTTGTTCAATTGATAAATATCATAAAGAGGCTTAAAGGAACACTATAGTCACCAGAGCAACTACAGATTAATGTAGTTGTACTGGTCTCTATTGCCCGTCCCTGCGTGCTTTTTAATGTAAACGCTGTCTTTTCAGAGAAAAGGCAATGTTTACATTGCTGCCTAGTAACACCTCTAGTGGCAGTCACATAAATGGCCAGTAAAGGTGCTTCCTGGGGCACTGCTGCACAGTGTGAAACACCGATGTTCAGCATCTCCACCCTCTGCATGGAGACACTGAATGCTCCCCATAAAGATGCATTAATGAATACATCTCTATTAGGAGATGCTGATTAGCCCAGAGCCGTGTTTTGCTCTGAATGCGCAATAGCATCCTTATGCTTTCCTATGGGATAGCAATGAATTGGCTGAGAATGTCAAATCTGATGATCTCAGTCAGAGAGATGGAGTGGGGAGGAGCCAAGACTGGCGCTGCCCTGGAAATAAGTTGAGTAAAATCATCTCAAGGGTGGGACTGACACCTATACAGTGTTTTTAAAACCATATGTGAGCAATGACATTTCCTAACCTCTCCCAGAATGCCATGCAAAATCTGCAAATGAGCACAGTGTTATGCCTGTCACAAAGTCACCTGGAAAATTAATTAGCAATGTTTGTTCACAGTCTGATGGGAGTTAGGGTGCTGTGCTAAACATATTACAGGCCTATTTTCACCTGCTTTTAAATCTGGAATCTCAAGTTGGTATGAACTCCAGAGCAGTGCAACTCTTATTTGGAGATTCTCTATTGGACAGTATCTAGTCTATTCAAACACAAAGAGAAATGCACATCAGGAGAAAGTATCCCACGCAGAGTAGTCTGTCATGTTATTTTGTTTTCTCTATTTATAACTCTATCACTTTGGCTCCATTCAATCTAGGGAGTTACTATGGCCCCCCAGCAGGAGACGTTAAGTTCTTTAACTGTCACCTTGGTCTCCTCCATCTGCTTCAAACGTGGAAGCTCTACTGAGAGCTTCATACCAGTCAGCCTTCTTCAGTACAGAATTCTGTGCATTCAGTTTCAAATGAATAGCATTTTGTCCCAATTTTGGGCGATTATTGATTCATCCTAAATGCGGGATGGGAGGGGGGCAATTCAGGATTCTACAGTGCAAGAAAAACGGGTTTGTTTTCCTGGAACTGGAGAGTCCCTTTAAGGTTAGAGTAGCTGAAGTGAAAGTAAAGTTGACATAGATAATTTTTCCAGTTTGGCAAATTTGACCCTAAATTTTAAATTCACCTTTAGTGAACTACCCTAGTGAACAAATCGTGCTTTGCTTCACTGATCTCAGAAATAATAAATGGGATTATCAGTTAGATCTACAGTTTTATTTACTGTTCTATGTAGGTTGTAGAGTTTTAATGATGCATGTGCAAGGCCTGGATCTGCTCTTCAGTATCTCTTGGGTGGGTTGCGTTTATATATTGTATATTTATTATCAGAATCCATGATAATTAAAGGGACACTATAGTCACCAGAACAACTACAGCTTATTGAATTTGTTCTGGTTAGTAGAATCATTACCTTCAGGCTTTTTGCTGAAAACACTGTCTTTTCAGAGAAAATGCAGTGTTTACATTACAGCCTAGTGATTACTTCACTGGCCACTCCTCAGATGGCTGTTAGAGATCCTTCCTGGGTCATGGCTGCCTAAAATGCATCCAAACATTCAGTGTCTCCACCCTCTGCATGCAGACACTGAACTTTCCTTATAGAGATTCATTGATTCAATTCATCTCTATGAGGAGATGCTGATTGGCCAGGGCTGTGATTGACTTGTGCTGGCTCTGCCCCTGATCTGCCTCCTTGGCAGTCTCAGCCAATCCTATGGGGAAGCATTGTGATTGGCTCAGGCATCAATTTCTGATGATGTCAGCAGACAGCTTGCTAGTCTGAGACAAACAGCATGCAGAGCTACAGCTTCAGGCTTGAATACAAGTAAGATTTTACTATTTTTAGGGAGGTATGAGGGGCCCAGGGTGGCTAGATGGTGGTTTTAACACTATAGGGTCAGGAATACATGTTTGTGTTCCTGACCCTAAAGTGCTCCTTTAAGGAAGTTAGCCCATTGATTCTGATAAGATTACCAAAGGCTATGTTTGTCAGCCACAGGTCACACTTGGTAGGTTTCCTTCATCTTTCAACTGTTTATGGACTAAAAATCCCATAATTCTCAAGCTAAACATAATTTGGCAAGGGATTATATATCTACTTTATCAATAGCTGGAGGGTATTGTTTGGACACCCCTTGATTTATAACCCCCAAGTCGAGGCATCTTTCATAGTCATCTTTGTCATAGTTATCTTTCATAAATAAACCCACAATGTTGTCATAACAGATCAACAATATCTGAGAATGAGTCATCATATTGCAATTTTGTTTAAATGTACAATCTTGTCTTGGCTTAAAAACAAACAGAATGGTTAATGAAAATCTAGTATGAAAGAATTTTGATGAACATGTGCCAAGTTTAAAGTATGCTGGAATAATTGTTATGTTAGTTTAAGTTAGTTTGAAGTCAAAAATTGTTGAGCTGTGAAAAAAACCAAGGCCAGCATAATTTGACTGTGATTTAATATGTACAAGAAATAAACTCAAAACATTTGGTCATTTGGAAAAAAGAAAGATAAGTTTTATAGTGGAGTTAAAAAGTTACATGTTTTTAGATGAAATTCAATTGTAAAAATGTGATAAAACTTAATCATTAAGCCCAGCTGTATTGTGTGTGTTGATACAGAGGTCAAGTGTATTTGGAGAAAATCTTAAGAAAGATACAATTCCTATTCTGCCTTAAAGGGACACTATAGGCACCCAGACCACTTCATTTCATTGAAGTGGTCTGTGTGCAGTGCCCCTGTCCTCTTAACACTGCCATTGTAATTATTGCAGTTATTACCTTGCAGAGTTAACTCCACCTCTAGTGGCTGTCTATAGACATCGCTGCGCATGCGCATTAGGCCCCTCTGCCGGCTGATGTTGGCAGAGGAGGAGTGACCCAGCACGAGGGTTATTGGTGCTGAAATAAGTTAAGTGACAAAAGGGTTTTAACCATTTCAGTGTGAAGAGGAGGAATGAAGAAGAGGGGGGAAGAGGGTACAACTTTGTATTCCTAGCACTGTAGTTTCCCTTTTTAATTTGAAGAATTTGGTCTTTAAACTGCAGTTCCAGGTACAGCTCCTTTGGGTGTATTGATCTTTCTCTCATCAATGTGTAGAGTTTCATTGTTGATCTTTTTAGTACCTTCTGGTGCAATATATAAAACTGGCCAGCTTGCATTAATTACTAGGAATCATTAAATCTGTATTTGGCAAATATTTCCATTTCTCTCCAGTGCAATGTGTGCCTGTAAGTGCCGGGCTTGTACTCATTTTCTAAATCTCTAACATACATTTCTTTAAAAATAAAATCAGCATCACTTAAAATGCTATAGGTAATTTTCAATTATGTATTCAATGCTGTAATGTTCAGATGATTCTCCTTTAAATCATAAATGTTTGATTTTTATACTGTATATCACGTGTTTTAAACCATTTAAGGTCATATTAAAGTCTTATGAGTACGTAGGTTTTTATTACTGTTGGCATTGGTATGGCACCAACATATACTAGAGTGCTTTACAATTTTAATGTGGGAATGTAGCATCAAATAGGAGAAGGCACAATGACTGAAAATGTTCCACTTTTATATGATGACACAAGTTCAAAGATACCGCATGTAACAATGTTTTCGTGCTAATCCCCCATTCCAAGCTCCTTAAAGTGATGTCAAGAAAATGCAATGGAATATTCTAAAATTGTTCTCATTTAAACCATCACATTTATTTTTCCAGGTACCACCCCAGATCAAAAACAAGTCATCAATGAAATATCTGTAAAAGAACAGACGTGGCCCCTGTAAAAAATCAGTAATTAAACTAGGGTTAATTATGTTCCAGTATCAATAAAATGTATTTTTAAAGAAAGTTAAATACGATTAATATAAAATAATCACCGAGCATAAATAACTGCAATGTAACCAAACTATTGCTGCTAATGTCTGGATGCCAAGAGTCCCTTTAAATAAGTTTAGAAAATAAATACCTCTGTTTTGTAGTTCACTCACGTGAATTCAACATGACTTTAAAGTGAATTTTACAATTAAGGCAATCTGGAAGCATAATTGGCTTTGAAAATGTATCCAGGCTATTTTTATCTTGAATTTGAAATTCATATATAATTCACTTTGAATTCTAACTTTAACTCACTTTAAGTTTGTTGTCCACTCCCAGCTGCTCACTGTTATATAGTTATTTGCCAACATAAATACAGACTAATTGAAATTAATCTAATATTGAAGAAAGAATTCCACCAATTTCAGCCCTTCATACATCTGTCATTCGACTCTCGATCCAAAAGAAGGCGAAAAACTCAATTTGAAGTGATTTCCTGTTTTACCACAAACTGGGGAATTATTATGATTATTATTATGATATTTATAGAGCGCCGTCAAATTCTTGACTCTAACATGGCCGTCAGATATCGCCTTGGATCAGCGAGCTGTTTTCATGCTTTTAACCATTAAATAATTGTATCTTCTGTTTTGAGGAACACGACCCCACTTTCCAGCACTGTATCAATCAACATTGCACACCATCTGAAGATTTCTCGAGGGCTGCACCGTTCCTGTGGAACTCGCTTCACTCCTCCGTTCGATGCTCACCCAGTCTCCACTCCTTCAAAAAACCGTAAAAAACCCACTTCTTCATAAAAGCGTATCAATTAAACTGTTAATAGCTCCTGACTGATTCCTCTTCTGCAACTGTCACTAGTCTAATACTATCCTTACCTTTTTGTGTCATTTTACCCCACTCCCTCTAGTATGTAAGCTCATTGAGCAGGGCCCTCAACCCCTCTGTTCCTGTGTGTCCAACTTGTCTGGTTACAACTACACGTCTGTTTGTCCACCCATTGTAAAGTGCTGCGGAATTTGACGGCGCTCTATAAATATCATCATAATAATAATAATAATCTATTATAGAGAACGGAATCCAAATAGACAAATAAATCCGTTGAGTGATTTAGAGAATTAGATGGATGCGGTATTTAAAATGATTTTCACGTTCGATGCTCAGCTTATGTCTGCTTACTGTAAGCCCACTTGCCTCAAAGCTGTTTTATTAACAATACGGAGCCATTAGCCGTGCAGATCAAGCATGATATCTCTGTCTAATGTCTTTTTATTGACGGCGGACTGCTAAATACTTTGTATTCACATGCGGAATAAAAGCATAAACACGGCAATTTACATTGGATTAGATAAAAGCATTAGCACAATTGACATGAAAAGTTCAAAAAGAAAATGGTATAAATATGCAGCTTCAGAAAAACACAGCTAAATGGATAGGATGTCAGTAATGTAGCTCATCGAGCAGCGCAGCTAAAGTGAATGGGCCTTGGCAGGGCTAGGAGACAGGCCTAGGAGGGGTTTAATTTATGGGAACTGGCTAGATAACTTAGAGGAGTATATATAGTGGCCATTTTTGGTTAGGGGTCACCTTAATTAATCCTCACTTACCTGTTTTGTGCAGGCTGTTTGGTGTCGCTTTCTTGTGTCTTGTAGGTGCTGCTGTTGGAAGAATGGAGGATTGGCTGGCTGGTGTCCTTGCCGCTGCTGTTCAGCAGAGAGGTGTTTCCTGGCTCCGGGAGCGTCTGGGAGAGGCCCTGGTCCCACCTGGGCCTTCTGCATCTGGGTCCACAGCGACTGAGAGAGTGTTTCCTGGTCATTGGAAAGGCGACTATGCATATGTCATGTTACAAAAAGTGTCTGTCTTTGACCTGCACAGTTCATTTTATAAGGGAACGCACTTTGGGATTAGTTTTGTTTGTGTGTTTTTCTTTGTTTTTGTTTTTTTTAACCAAGATTGTGTCTATTTGCAAAAAATGTGTCTAATTGCTAAATTTGCTGGAAATTTATTTGTATTCATTAAGAAACTAAAATTATCCCACGCATGCTTAAACTCCTTTACTGTGTTAAAGTATATAGCCAAGAAAGCTACATTTAGCTTTCATTAACTTTCACGTGTATATAGGTGTCCGGATATTCTTACCCAACTTAACGGTACATATTTCACCAATGCTTTGACTTATGACTCTGACACTCTGCAGTGTTACTCCTGTCCACCAAGCCAAGGAACGGGGGCCAAGGGCTCAGTTTAAATGTCTTTGTTAAACTATTACCTGGTTTCAACAACTCTTGATGGAATGACTCTATTTACTAACTGCATTCGTACGTGATGTCATAAAAAATCTCAGTATTGATTAATAAATACCTTTTTATTTGGCCCCTTCTTGTTACCCAGAACTCTCCATCTGTCTTTTCAGATATCTTTATTTTTGGTTTGGTTTTATGCATTCGAGCTGATGAATGACTTAGCCATTGCTGCCGCCAAGAGTAGTGTTAGATTAAGCACAGGGCTTATTTCTGTGTGTTGTTATAGTGTTTAAAGTTCTCAGAGTTCCCCTTTAAGTTCTAAAAGTAATTTTTTGGCCAGTTTCTTTGTTCTATTCATATCTTCATTTTCTTCCATTATTAACTGCATGCTCTGAAAATTTCCACTAATCCTTGTTATATATGTATTATACTAAATACTATTATTATTTTATCAGGAAATGTCTCAAGGCGTAGCTTTTCTTTTTCCTTTTTTCTTTACTAATAGATTAAAGCTTCATGCTCACGTTAGTAAAATTATCCTTTTTCCTCCAAAAAGAAGTGGAGCCAATAATGGAAACTATAATTAGATTGTCTGAGTAGAAGATGTTCTTTAAATTAAAGACATCTTTAAAAACCCACAAAGATTGTGCTAAATATATAAAAGCAATGCGAATAAAATGGTAATGATATCCATGAACGAAAGTTAGTCTTCGCAATTATACGTGTTTTTTTTTAAATTCTTTATTTCGAAGTGTAAAGAAAATAGCTTGAAGGCATTTGCATACATTACATCAGCATAAAATGGACAAATGTGCAGTTTCCTGTACCCAATTTTCTATTAAGATAAGACAGATTTGTCTGTGAAATCAAAGTGAAATCAACACAAGTTCTAGAACCCCTAAATTACAATCAACACAGTAAGATGGCCTTGATGGTGAGTGCGTAAAAAGCATTTAATGTTTCTATCCAAAAAAGGCTATAAAAAGGGCATGGCATGAGGTCTGCAATATTTTTTTTACACTTTATAACATAAGGATTGTATACAATACATGTAACTAGCACCGATTTGAGCCACTTGTGGCCTTAAAAGAGAGACATAGGACTCTTTTTCATATGGAGAACAATTCCAGAATGGTTACTGAAAGACTAACAAAGTTATAAAGCTTGAACATAACAGATGGGGAGGGGGGGCAGGCGGGGAATATTCAGGTCGTGGAATAGGAGTCTTCTCCCAAGCGTGGACCAAATGCTACGACTCTACTCAAGTCCCACGAATTGTTAGTGGTCAGGCCTCTAGGGCCAGCATTTGACATGGACAGACTCAAAGCCATGAGAAACTTTCCTTAGTTCCATTCCTTGACACTGACAGAGACTGTCCAGCAATAGTCTATACCCGCTTCCCATAATTGCATTGTGATGGCACTGAAGGGTCAATCTTGGCAGGTCAAGCTAGAAGGAAAGCCATATGGTGTCTTCCCTTGTACTGGCATCATAATGTATCATTTGTTTTTGAATGTTTGACATTGGAATAGGAATCTCGAGTGGCTGTGGTAGGTGCATCTAGATCAAAATCTCTTAGCAAGATAAGGTGAGAGGACAGCTGCTATGAGTTGCTTCATGTAGTGTGGGAGCTCAAGGATGAAGTGGTGAAGGTCAAGCATGTCTTCCTCCATGGCCTTCAGCCTGTCTATCACCACCTGCACGTCTGCCTTTATTAACCCCAGGTCTGCCAGAATATAAATATTCTGCTTTGTGGCAGGGATTGTCGCAGCTGTGGGCTCTGGAAGCTGATACATCTGCTATGTCTGGTGGAGATGGCATAGGTACTTCAGTACTTCACATAATTAAAAAATATGTAATACGTTTGCATTTGATGTTATGGAGGGCTGAAACTTGGTGAATGTTATATGTTCGTGTTCCAAAGAGAGATTGAAAGAAAATAATTTTCATACACTATGAAATGCTTTATATCTCTGCTTTGGGATGTAGTAGATTTGTAGAGATAACGAGTAAATGCTTATAGAATTTTTTTCACAATTAAATAAGTATGATTTCAATTAAACTCTTGTAGTGGCTTTTAAACCAGGTTTTTACTACCACTGTGTGCTATGTATTGGTTGCAGTCTGAATTATCTATGCTGTGCCATGGGGTAGGTAGACCCCAAGCAACCAGTTATCAGGAAAATCTCAGCATTTTATAACCCAGCTGTCATTTTATCAGATTAACATATTTGAGTTTGTGGGACACAGCAGTCGGTATGACGTGGGGCTTTACTACAGCTTGATGCTCATCAATCATGTTAGATCACTATTACGACAGAGCTGCAGAGTGAAACATGCCATTCCCTCGTTGCCTGTGTTTATTTTACATTGCCATCATAGGCGGTGATCTCTGCTTGCTTCTGATTCATGGGAACAACGGAATGGAAGCACCTGGGAGAGTTTCCATTACCCATTCTAAGTCAGTCTCCAATAAGCTGTGTTCCAATACTTGTTACTGTATCACCAGCCAATGTGACAGTCCAGCTGGGTACCACTTCCATTGGTGTCATGTATTGGCAGGACTGTTTACAGTGCATGAGGTATTTACAGGCCAACCAACATTCAGTGACTACATTCCCTGTTACAGTATGTATTTCATGATGGCCAAATATTTACGAAGGCATTATGTCAGAGTGTGACATTTGTGTCTCTCAAAAACAAATATGAGTTTTAGTCATTAAACAGTAACTTGAAACCAAAATTTAAAAATTCAGGCTCAGTTTTAAAACATTTTCCCATCTCAGCTATAATCTCAAAATGTTCTTTAGAACATTAGAACTTATTAATGACTCGGTTAGGGACCAAGTAGCCAGACTTTCTCTGCTCATGTCCTACAAAATCAATAAATAGTAAGTTACAGAGACAGACAGGCGAGTAGATACCTTTATAGAATTTAGAATATAAAAATAAGAAAAAAAGGAAAACAGGTTGGGTACACCGTCAGTGGGTATAAAACCCTAAAGTGGATTTGTTTGCGCATGTATGTACTACTGTACAATTCTACCATAAATAGCCTTAACAGACCAAGATTGGCTGATAAAATCTCAGCCATCACTTGGTTCAAGAGGGCATCACTGCAGATCATATTAAAGACTGACATGCAGCAGTGAGAATCTGTTATAAAGAAACTACTCTATTCACACCATAATGTCTGAAAAATAGAAAATAAATACAGTTTACATTGAAAGTACATGTTTAGGTTCTAGCTGTTAATATGTACAAATTAATATGGTATGCCAATCAGCGTAACGACCATGTGCAGTGATCAGGCAACAGCGTACTCTCTGTGACTGTATGGCCTTAGCTGTAGTCTGCTATAAAACCAAGATGGCTGCTGTAAAGATGAGGTACAGAATGTAAAAAACTTCTAAACTTCGCAAACAAAGAAAATTTCTACTCGTGACTGAGTCGGCCATTCAATGCACAGGGTATGGCCTGCAGTCAGTACATACATCTCTGTAAATAACTCTATATGAATTGCCTTATAGTCATCCTATAAATGATATAAAGATTAGGGATTGGCTGGTAGATAATCAGGCTCAGGGCTATTACAAAAAGATTTTTTACGATGATCAGATATGAGATGAAATGGTAAATCATGCAATTCAATGCATTTTTCCTATGAGATGAAATTATTTATGTAAATTTTCTTTTATATATAGAATAAACAAGTCCTGAACTTAAATTTGCTCTTAAACTTAAATCACGATAGCAACATTTGATGAAGTATTAAAAGCTTTATGACAAAACATAAACAACAAAGCCTTTAAATATAGGCCTCTGGAGATGATAAAAACAACCTAGTAAAAATCTTTATGAGAAACAGATTTTCCCCTCATTTAATTATTTATAATGTCAGCAAGGAAAATTGTACTCCCAGGCAGCAGTAATGTGTCAGACTTTTAAGTCAAATGTCTTTTTTTTTGTCCATTCCAAATATTATTAGATTTTTTTTTAAAATTAAAATCAGGTCATTCTTACAAAGCTACCTTAATAGGTACAAATAAGTTTTTGCTTTATAAACTTAAAACTTAAAAGGATGAATTATTATTATTTTTTTAATAATTGGAAAAAAACAACATATGAAATGTGAAGTTGAAATTAAACTTCCACTTAAACTTTGTTGCAACAGGAAGACTGAGGTTTCTGTGCTGGGCGCCTCAGAAGTGTAGAGGTGACCCACCGAGCTCTAATACACTAACATACAGTGACATCACACGTGTATGTGCAGTGCCGTCATGGTCTTCCATAGAGAATCATAGTATGTAATGATTATCCATGGCAGAATTGTAGGCACAATTCAGCGAGCACCGCACATGCACCTACAGTCCTCAGTGCTCCTCTATGAGGAGCATTGCTTTAGACCTCATCCTGGAGGCTGCGGCAGCACTTAATTTGTTTTTCTTTTCGTAGGTTTTTTTGTACTAAGTAGGGACATGAATACTATAGCGTTAGGAATACAGGTATGTCTATAAATGTATAGTGTTCCTTTAAATCGTTTGCAAAAGCTTATCCAAAAATATGTAATCAAGGCCTTAGTTAGCACAATGAATATATAAATTTTAAACCAATTTTTAATTTA